ACACACTTCTGGTGATGTCAGGGGGTGTGGCATATGCTAATGACTTATGCTAATGAGTCCCCCTAGCTCTTTTTCTACGAAACGACCCCTGACCGGAAGTATTTTTGTGTGTTGGAAATGCCAGGAATGGCACCTAGAACCTCCAGAGTCCAAACCCTAGGCACTGATTGGTGGACTCTCCCATGGTAGTTTGGGTACCACAGCCTCCCTCGGGGGTCTAGGTGGGAGGTGCTGGGAAAGGCCTCATGCTACCTGAGGCTTTGGTGGAGTTGGCTTAGACCGCACTGCAGAAGAAGAGATGGGATTTATACCCCGCCCTTATCTACCCAAAGGAGTCTTAGAGTGGCTTACAATCTCTTTTCCCTTCCCCTCCCCACAACACTGTGAGGTAGGTGGGGCTCAGAGAGCTGTGACAGAAACTGCTCTTTTTCAAGGACAGCTGTGCCAGAACTATGGCTTGCCCAAGGTCATCCAGCAGGTGCAAGTGGAGGAGTGGGGAATCAAACCTGGTTCTCCCAGATTAGAGTCCATGCACTTAACCACTACACCAAACTGGCTCTCCCAGACTACTGTGGGAGAACCCATCCACCAATGCGTACGGTTTGGACCCTGGAGGTTCCAGGTGCCTCTCCCGGCATGTCCAACATACCAAAAAACCTCAGGGGGGAGAAGGGTTTCCAGGTTCCCCCGGCAACTGGTGTGTGTGTGTGGGGGGGACAATGCTGGCAGCCAACTGAGGCCTTGCGCTCTGTTGCTGGCGATGTGAGATCAGCATGGACGTCCTGACATTTGGCCGAAAGGAGCCGTTTCTATCATAACATTTTGCCCAAATCCCAGAGTGTCCGTGATAATGTCACTTCTGGTGCACACAGGAAGTGATGGTGCCGCGTCACTAGTGACAGGCCTAGGACTCAGTTTGCTGCCGGTAAGCCCCCCCCTTTCCACTAGTTCCACCAGAAGCAGAGGTCATTTCAGGGGGGATCGCGGGGGATTGCAGTTCCCCCGGGTGAGGTACAGGGGGAGCTCCCGCCGGCCTTGCAGGTCCCCCGCCAGGCCCCTCATGGGCCTCGGCAGTGGAGCTGCGCAGCCGGGACCGTTGGGGGCGGGGTGTGTGCCCTTATGACACACTTCTGGTGATGTCAGGGGGTGTGGCATATGCTAATGACTTATGCTAATGAGTCCCCCTAGCTCTTTTTCTACGAAACGACCCCTGACCGGAAGTATTTTTGTGTGTTGGAAATGCCAGGAATGGCACCTAGAACCTCCAGAGTCCAAACCCTAGGCACTGATTGGTGGACTCTCCCATGGTAGTTTGGGTACCACAGCCTCCCTCGGGGGTCTAGGTGGGAGGGGCTGGGAAAGGCCTCATGCTACCTGCGGCTTTGGTGGAGTTGGCTTAGACCGCACTGCAGAAGAAGAGGTTGGATTGATACCCCGCCCTTATCTACCCAAAGGAGTCTCAGAGCGGCTGACAATCTCTTTTCCCTTCCCCTCCCCACAACACTGTGAGGTCGGCGGGGCTGAGAGAGCTCTCTCAGGAACTGCCCTTGAGAGAACAGCTCCGAGAGAACTGGTGACTGGAGAAAACGGATGCTTTGGAGGGTGGACTCTAAGGCATTGTACCCCACTGAGGTCCCGCTCCACCCCCAAATCTCCAGGAGTCCCCAGCGTGGATATGGCAACCCTACAGCCCCACCCCCGTCGGTGGCCAGGAAGGACCTGACAACCCTAGCTTGTTAGCCATGAGAGGTAAATAGAACCTCCTTGTTCAGGGGCAGTGTATCTCTGAGAACTGGCGACTTGGGTCCTTTGGGGAGATTGATCAGGGGGGAAATGTTTTATATAAGAGGAGGAGGGGGAGGAGATTAGATTTATACCCCGCCCTTCACTACCCGAAGGAGTCTCCGAGCAGCTTACGATCTCCTTTCCCTTCCCCTCCCCACAACAGATACCCTGTGAGGTAGGTGGGGCTGAGAGAGTTCTTTCGAGGACCGCCCTTGAGAGAACAGCTCCGGGAGAACTTGTGAGTAACCCAAGGTCACACCAGCAGCTGCATGTGGAGGAGTGGGGAATCAAACCCAGTTCTCCCAGATTAGAGTCTGCGCTCCTGACCACTACACCAAACTGGCCGAGAGCCAAACCGGCAAAGTGGCTCCTGGTTTGCAGAGAAAGCGTTCGGAAATAAATGGATCCAGGCCAGATTCGGCAAGGCAGCCGGTGTTCATATCTTGGGTCTCAATCAGCCTGTTAACTGTTACAGTGCCGGGACTGGAAAATCTTCTTTCCTGCTTCTAGTCTCACAGTCTCTTCTTTGGTGTTGTGGTCAGTTTGGTGTAGTGCTTAAGAGCGCAGACTCTAATCTGGGAGAACTGGGTTTGATTCCCCACTCCTCCACATGCAGCTGGTGGTGTGGCCTTGGGGTCAGTCACAAGTTCTCTCGGAGCTATTCTCTCAAGGGCAGTTCTCTCAGAGCTCTCTCAGCCCCACCTACCTCACAGGGTGTCTGTTGTGGGGAGGGGGAGGGAAAGGAGATTGTAAGCCACTCTGAGACTCCTTCAGGAAGTGAAGGGCGGGGTATAAATCCAATCTTCCTCTTCCTCTTCTAACCTCCTCCTTCCAAAGTACTTGGGGCAGTCTACACAGTCCTCCTCCTCCATTTTATCTTCACAATAGCCTTCCGGTGTAGGTTAGGCTGGGGGAGAATGACCGGTCCAGGTTCACCCAGGATGCTTTGGGGCACAGTGGGTATTGGAGTGTTTGTGGGGGTCTCCCCAGTCCGATACTCTGACACCACTATACTACGCCAAGGGAGTTTTTTGTTTTCTCCGCACACATTTGTCCGGAGGTATGACCCCTGGGAGGAAGAGAAAGCCCAGCTCACAGAGTCCGTGTCGCACAGGCCAGCTAACCCGGAAGGCCCAATCTTTGTGCCATGCATCCGATGTGGCCCCTGAGCGGTACACACCCAGGGCCTGAACGTTAGAAGTCTCCCTTAAGATGCGTCCCCCATGGGAGAATGCCTTGTGTGAACTGGACTAGGCAATTCACTTGATCGAGGCGACTGAAAAATATTTGTTCATGGGAAGACCTGGTGCCTGGGCAACATCATATGCTCAGTGGTGGAGCGGAGTCCCCGCTGCGCATATAACATTTCTCTCTTCCCAGACGATGAACCGGCCTATAGTTTTCATGGATTCCAAGAGGATTGCTAATGTCTTGCTATTTCAGACATATTTGCTCTCTCCGTTTGTGTCGGATCCCTTTTCTTTTCCCCGTTCGTTTTTTTCCTGTGTGTTTGTGTTGGAAGGATTTTGGAAAAGAATTTTGTGTGTGTGTGTACGCACGCACATAGATATGTTGTAGCTGAAATCTAGATGGTGCTTATAAAGCCATGATGAAACAGGTATTGTTGTTACTTTTCTTTGTCCTTCTGTCTTGGTGAGAAAACGCGTTGCGGTCTTCTGGTCCTCTCGTGCCTTGGCTACTGTGATTAAGAACATTAAGAGAAGCCATGTTGGATCAGGCCAGAGACCCATCCAGTCTAACGCTCTGTGTCACACAGTGGCCAAGGTTCAGGGGCCATCAGGAGGTCCATCAGCGGGGCCAGAACTCCAGAAGCCCTCCCACTGTGGCCCCCCTAGCACCAAGAAGACAGCATTACTGCCCCAGACATAGGAACATAAGAGAAGCCATGTTGGATTAGGCCAATGGCCCATCCAGTCCAACACTCTGTGTCGCACAGTGACCAAAACCCAGGGGCCATTAGGAGGTCCACCAGTGGGGCCACAACTCCAGAAGTCCTCCCACTGTGGCCCCCCTAGCACCAAGGAGACTGAACATTACTGCCTCAGCCGTAAGAACATAAGAGAAGCCATGGCCCACTCTGTGTCACACAGTGGCTAAAACCCAGGTGCACATTCGGGGCATCCCTTCTGTTATATCAGTCCTCCTGACCTTTATCCAAATTATTCATCGTTCCCAGTTGTTCAGACTTCCTCACATCTCTGTACTGACTTCCTGTCCCGTATCCAATGCAAGCTCTTGTTTGTAAAGGTCTCCGTGACAGTGCCCCGCCCATCTTTGTACCTTTCTTTCCTGACAGAGCCTTGACTGTTCGTCCTCACGTATCTGAAGATCTCTTGCCCTTTATGCCTAGGAGCGCCTTTGAGAATGTCAGTTAAGTGCCCTCTCTAGGTCTTTCTTGCTGGTCAGAGAAACTGTGATCAGTCCTGGGAGGAGGAAGGTCTTAGCGGTAAAGTTATGTACGGATGTGAGTCAGAGATAACGCTGACTGGGGGCAGCATAGGCATGGTGTCGCTTTATGTGGGTCGAATTCTGTGTGCTGTGTGCACTCCAGAGGCCCCACTGCTGGACCTCCTGGTCGCACCTGGTATTTTTGGCCACTGTGTGACAGAGCGGTGGACTGGGTGGGCCACTGGCCTGATCCAACATTGGCTTCTTTTTATGTTCTTATCACTGTTTCAAGTTCAGGAACATCTTGAGAATATACCAAATCTCTTCTCCTCAAACGTTCTGTTTTGTCTCTAGGGCAGACCCACGGGCCCCCTACCCCGCCTACCACCCCGAAGACGGACCTGCACCATGGGAGCAAGCAGGAAATGAAGCACGAAGGGCGCCGTCTGGTGGAAAGCGGAAGGCAGAACATTGACTTCAGCAATGTGGACATCTCGGAGCTGAGCAGCGAGGTGATCAACAACATGGAGACCTTCGATGTCCACGAGTTCGACCAATATTTGCCACTCAACGGCCATTCCGCCATGACAGCCGACCACGGGCAGAACTCCACAGCAGGTTCCTACGGGACCGCCTATTCTCATTCAGCCAACGGCGGCAGCGGTGGGGCGGCTCAGGTCTGGACTCACAAGAGCCCTTCCTCGGCGTCTCCTTCCTCCGCGGAAACTGGTCAGCAGAGGCCCCACATCAAGACGGAGCAGCTGAGCCCGAGCCATTACAGTGACCAGTCTCACAGCTCTCCTACTCACTCCGACTACGGATCTTACACTGCCCAGGCCTGTGCCACAACAGTGTCTTCAGCCACAGCCACGGCCTCCTTCTCCAGCTCTCAGTGTGACTACACAGATCTCCAGAGTTCCAACTACTACAACCCGTATCCGGGTTACCCTTCCAGCATCTACCAATACCCCTATTTCCATTCGTCCCGTAGACCCTACGCCACCCCAATCCTCAACAGCTTATCCATCCCTCCTTCGCACAGCCCCACCGCAAACTGGGACCAGCCAGTCTACACGACTCTGACGAGACCTTGAGAGGACCGAAGGAACTGTTGGGTTTGAGGTCCTCCTCTTCCTCCCACAAAAAAAACCCACAACCCACCACGAAAACTTAATGCACTGTGTGGAAAAACAAAACCGGAAAGCGACGATGCGAGAATCCATATCGGAATGTCATTTCGTTGCCCCAAGTGCCTCCTTCTCCGTACGACTGGACGCCTTCCCCCCCAGATCTTTAAATTTTTGAAAGACAGAGTTTCTATTTTCTTTATTAATAATAATTAATAATAATTAATAAAAAGTATACAGAATGAAAATTCCTTTTGAATACGCGAGGGACAGCTTTTATCTAACTCCTCTGTGAGGACTTGAAGCGAGCGGCCTAACGTGTATGCGGGACAGTCCGGAAGAGAAAATGGAGCCGATGGAGATATTCGAGGGGTTTATTGCAATTGGAATTTTAAGCCAGCCTAGGCGGAAAGAATCGATATAGAGCTGTTGTTGTTTTAAAGAGAAATCCTAACCATGCAATTAACAATACCGAAGGACCGTACAAGAATCTTTCGGGACCAACCCATCCACTAATGTCAGAATTCCTTCGCTGTAGTTGCCAGAGTTCTTCTAATCAAGGCTTGGCGATAAGTAACATTTTGTTTGGGAGTTTTAAAAAATTGTGTGTGCGGCTCTCAAAAAGGAAGTGTTGATTTTGTTATTGTTGCTTTGGGGGATCGATCTCTTAAATATGTATTTATGTTCTGTGTAATTTTGTCTTCTTAATTAATGAAGTAATTCTGTGCGAGAAGTAGAATTTTAAATGAGATCTTTTTTTATTTTTAAGGGGTGTAAATTAGTGGAGATGAGATGGATTATCCTTCCGGATTCAAAGAAAACAACTGCAAAGTTCAACTCATCTGTAATCCTAAAAATTATCCATAAAAGTAAATTTGAAATGATTTTTTAAAAAATACATTGGCCGTGGAGAGTCTTGATTGGCAGTAGGGATGGGCACAAACCTAAAAAGAATGGCCAACGAACCGAACCCAGAATTGAACCAAAAGGGCCTGAACCAAACCGGTCTGACAAGTTCAGTTCTCCCTTTCTCCCAGCCATGGCTTGCAATTCCCGAGCTCCGACCCGGCCCAAGTTTGTGTTGAATTTTGGCTTGTGAGCCCGTTTGTACCCATCCCTAATTGGCAGAAACAGCTACGGATCAATTTGGGGCTATGAATGAATAATCTCCCATGAAGAGATGATTATTTAATGGCAATGCCCACAGAACATTTAGAAAACATAATATCTCTTGCAGGATGAGACCAAACTAAGTTGCATCCAGCATTCTGGTTCCAAAAGCAGCCATCTTGGATTGTTAAGGCGGTAACACCCACTTGGCCTTCTCTAGCATTTCGAGTTTTGAGATAGACTGCTTTTCAGCATGGAGGTTCTGCTTCATGGCTCACTGATGGAAATCTCCAAGAATTTGTCTAATCTCTTTTTCTAAAAGCCCCCATTGCCACCTTGCGAGGTAATATATCCCGTAAGTTAATTCCTTATTTTATGAAGAAGTACTCAGTTTTATGATCTACCCGCCAATCTGATTCAATGATTGTCTGCCCGGGGTTCTACAAAAGAGAAGGGTGGAAATGTCACTCTCTAAGAAGGAGTATTTTAGGAGTCATCAGGGTTCAGATTCCACTTGAGAAAGTGGACTGGATTCCCCCCCCCCCCAGTGCGTAAGGGTGCTGGGCCACTAGTAAAGGCCTTAAATGAAACATACAGGAATCAATTTAGATTTTTGAAGTTGAACTGGGGAGCCGGGACTGGGTGGTCCATTTTGCATTCTGCGTCTTGACACAAAACGATTCCGTTTTCCCGGCTTGCACCAACTTCAGAAGTGATTGCTAGTTGGGAAAGAACTTTCTGGATGTACCTTGCTGAGGTCATGTGGTTCTTCGGGGACGGATGCTAGGTTCCTGCCAGATCATGACCGTGACCAGGAAAAAAAAGTACTCTCCTGTTCCAAATGAGTATTTTTATCTGTGCATTCCTTTTCAAGAATGGATATAAAATACGGGCAAAATCTTAAGCGAGCATGGCTTCCTTCCCTCTCTCAGCTGGACTACTTCAGTGTAAATCCGGGAAAGGGAAAACTGGGGGGGAAATACAGTAATAGGGGTTTTTTTTCCCCTCCTCCTGTGCCAACTAGTTTCAACACACTAAATTGGATTTGAAGGCATCATTGAATTTTTGGACTATATCAGAAGCACAGCGAGTTTCAAGAAATTACATTTTAACCAGAAGTTACGGATTGAGTTTCACTTTAATGTTGCCTGTTTAGGGACCAGATGTCATCCATCAAAGCTGTGAAAATAAACGTTCTCCACTATATTTTGGTTAGGGTTGGGGTTTTTTTTAGACGTAGACTAATATTTCATTGATATTTTGTTCCATTGTATGCTGAGCATATAATAACCATCTAACGTTGTGCCTTTTAAAAGAAGAAAACTTTATAAATCTTTAAACTTTCAGAGGCGGTTTTCTCTTATCTTTTCTATGTTTCGTATCCTTGGAGGTTCCTCGGGTTTTTTTTTCTCTTTTGTTCCTAAAAGTTGTTTTTTTGGGGGTTTTTTTGCATATTGCCTTTCGGGAATATGGAGTGGGGGGGAAAGCAGGGGAACGGAATGTGCGGGGGACACACCGCGCTCCTTTTATACAATCTGTTTTTCTGTACAAAGTCTGAAGATCTCTCATTATTCCTTCTCTGTTCCGTTCACTACTACCTTCCGACTAAGTAATGCTAACTTTTGTACAGCTCCATTTGATAAAATTAAAGAAAATGCCTTTTATCTACCATTTGTTGATATATTTATTGTCTTTATAAAAAGAAGCATTGTGTCTGCCCAGAAAATGAAAGATGGAGGAGTCTGTCTTGGTCGCAAGACTCCGCCCACGACGAGAGAGGTCGGGGTTGCGCGTCCCTCATGCAACGATCGGTCCGTGTGGGCATGGGATGAGATTTTCAAGGCCTGCTCATGGATACATTCGAGATAAAAATTTGGATGAAGCTTCTTCTAAGAGCAGCATGGGATTGTGGCTGTTTGCTGCCTCCAGAAGAAAGCCTCAGCTGTACATGATAGTTTCTTCCTGTGTTTGTTTTTTAAATGACTTTCTTTTGCTTCATAAATTTTGCTTCATAAATTATCAAGGAAAAGGTGTGGAGAAAGAGAGAGCTAGATCTTTCCTTTCCCTCTTGTTTTCTCACTGGGAATATCGACAGGTATCGACCAGTGTTCCCTCTAAGCTGAGTTAGTGTGAGTTAGCTCACAGGGTTTTTTTTAAGCCTCCGGCTCACACATTTTAGCAAGAAATTGCAAGTAGATAAATAGGTACCACTTCAGTGGGAAGGTAACAGCGTTCCGTGCGCCTTGGTGTTTAGTCATGCCGGCCACATGACCACGGAAACGTCTTCGGACAGCGCTGGCTCTTTGGCTTTGAAACGGAGATGAGCACCGCAACCCTAGAGTCGGATTCGACTGGCTTTCGAGCAAGGGAAACCTTTACTTTACCTTTAAGGAAGGATGGCTCGAGAGCAAACTAATTTATGCAGTAGCCATATCATTCGCTCGCATCTTTAATGCCAATCGCTCACAAAGTAGAATTTTTGCTCACAAGACTCCACAGCTTAGGGGCAACATTGGTATCTACCCCCCCCCTCCCTATCCTTGGCTTTTTCCGGCAAACAAAAAAAATGGTGGGAAAGGAAAGGTTTAAAACATCCCTCTCTCCTTACGACCGCTCTCCTCTTTGATAAAGCAGCCAGCATTTGCAGAAGAAAAGGAGTCACCACGCCAACTCCCCACACACTGTGTAGCCTCCCCACACACTGTGTAGCTGCGCCTTAAATTGGTTAGAGAGCCACCTTTATGGAACCTAAACTACAGACGTCCACTCGCTTGCTCATAGCAGGGATTGTGATCCGTGGCAGGTGACCTGTGGCCTCCTAAAGTAGCATTATTTTGACTCGTGGTGTCCTGCCCAAACCGTAACCCAAGTTAAAGGCTAAGAATGGCTTCGAATGTTTTGGAGGACATTAAATGGTAGGGTCTCCATAAGTCAGAAGCGACTCGGTGGCTGTTAACACCCGTTTTGTGGTGGGCTCAGGAAGGCTGAGGACCCCTGCTCTAGACAGAGGAGTTCCACTTGAAGATCAGGGCTGTTGATGGACCCTACCTCCCTGAACTGGTCTCGTCAGCATTCAGAGCCGACAAAGTGAGTGGCAGTGAGTTATGTGGGCAACTCGGAGTGAAGAAGTATTTTCCATGCTCTGTCCCAGTTCATCTGTCCGTCGATTCAAGTCCCCCCCCCCCGAGTTTTAGTATTACAGGAAAGGAAGAAAATGTTCTTTTCCCACTTTCTGTACCCTAGGCCAGAAAACCTCCATCATGTCCACAGACATTTTCTTTCTCTAGACTAAAAAGTAGGGGTTGCCAGCTCCGGGTTGGGAAATACCTGGGTATTTGGGGGTAGGCTTGCCAAGTCCCCCCGGTGGGGCGGGGAAACCCTACCCCCAGAGGCCCGTGCCCCGCCGGCGGCGGATCGGGCCCGGGGGGAAACTCCACCCTAATGTGCACGTCGCCCGGAAATGACGCGGGCACGCTGGGGGTGGGGCCATGGTCATCCAAGGGAAAATTCTATGGCCGTGGCCCCCGCCCCCAGCATGCCCGGCGTCCCCGCGTCACTTCCGGGCGACGTGGATGCGGCGTGCACGTGTGCTTCCGCCGAGAGTCCCCCGCTGCGGCTGAGTTCTCACTTGGCAACCCTATTTGGGGGGTGGAGCCTAAGGAGGGAGTGGTTTGGGGAGGGGAGGGACTCCAGTGGAGTCTAGTGACATAGAATCCGCCTTCCAAAATGGCCGCTTTCTCCAGGGGAACTGACCTCTGTCACTTGGATATCAACTATAATCCCAGGGAATTTCTAGCTAAGACCTGGAAGTTGGCGGTCCGACAAGGCTCTCGTGCGTTAGCCCCACCCCTGCTAAAGGTCACTAGGCTCCACCCCTTCACCTGCCTCATGCCCCCCTTGGCTCTATACGCTAGCAAGATACATTCTTTAAATAATGAGCTGGCAGCCCCCCACAGCCCAGAAAGAAACAGGTCTCAGGCGGCCTACCGTTGAGTGATCTTTGGATGTTTGGGAGGGGAGTGTGGAAAAGCTTTGCTGGGGAGA